AATACTGGAATGGAATAGACGGCCTATATCATTCCAAAAAATTCTTAAATTTTGATGCCAAAAGAGCAAACACCGCTCTCAACCTAAGCAAGAAGAGTCTAAGTCACTCTCTGGTGGACTAACAGGCCACGCCGCATGTTATAAACACCTCTTCCTGTGGTGAGGAAGAGTCTATGGAACATCTGATCACTAACTGTGATGCACTAGGCCACATAAGAAATAAAATTTTAGGTACATACCAACTAGAGGATGAAGACCTTCGAAAACTGCCTCCGAAGGAGCTGGTTCGATTCCTCGAGATACTAAATATCTAAATACGAAGGGGTGCATAATAGATCAAACTGATCGCAGTGCATAGGGGCCTTAGCCTAACCAAAAAACTCCCAAATACCATTAACAACCTTTTTTGGTGTTATTTATTATTTTGCTACAGTTGGAAAAACATTCTTCACAGGTCAGAAATGTTATAGGAAATAAACTGTAACGAACTAAAATCAAGACATTTTTTAATGGTTTTAACATTGATTTCATTAATTCTCATTTCATTATTGATACATAATCTGTAATGTCTAAAGAAGAAAATATTTTTGCCATTAATACTTTTTTGGAATTGAGAATAAAGCAGTGATATTTTAATGTGCCTTTAACTGATGTAGCTTCTTTAAAGCGTTGTTTAATCTTATTTTCTTCTACTTCTTAGCCCATTAAAAAGTTCCTTTGGTGTTTGCATTGGATTATTTATTCGTTGAAGGCTAGCTTTTGCTAGCTTTTGCTAGCTCCTCTTTAAGGTATCAGCTAAGCCGTCGCATGGTCCCTTGCTGTGTGACGTTGGGAAAAAGTGCCATTCTGCTTCCAAACCAATGTCCGCTTTGTGATGAGTTAAATTAATAAAATTCTTTTTATTTTTATATTGTAAACCAGATCCATCGGAAAAATAAATAATTTTTTTAATATCCGTACTTAAAATTTTAATGAATTTGATAGCGTATTTTTGAAACAAATGTACAGCAGTTGTGTTATGATGTAAGCATTCAGATAATTAAGTTTGTTTTTTTTTGAAATCATTTATTTTCGTATTATTTTTTAAATTAAAAATTTTTCAGCTATCAGACAAACCACAATAAAACGCTTTTATTTGGAAATTTGAAGCAGATATTTCGTTCTTTATTTTAGAATATCCTCAGTGCTGTAATTATTATCCAAAAAATAATTACAAAAAATTTTTTAAAGTTACACATTACAATTAAAATAATACCTTAATTTTTAATAAAAAGCTTAACTTAATGTTTATGAATTTAAAATTAAAACAATATATACAAAAAATTAACATATATATAAAAACTGACACTATTGAACTCAAAAAAATAAAATGAACAATAATTATTTTTATTTTTAACATCACATATGTTAAGTGATCAGACAATAATAAACATAGAAACAAAAACAAGAAAATGGAAAAATATATGTTAATCTATTTTGTTATGTCAAAGAACTTTAGTACAACTTGTATAGTTGTCTTTGTTTTTTAAATTCAAGAAATGTAATATATGTACATTATTATTATTTCTCTTAAAACGGTTCTGTATCAATAGGCGTATTCGGTGGCTCGCAAGTACGGCAAAAAACAGCAAGTTGTTGGCCTATGCAGGCCTATACTGGCCGCAATGTATGCAAAACAACAACACTATTTTCTCTACCTCGGCCAGCATAGTTATGCTGGCCAACCACATCGGCCAGTAAAAAAAAAATGTTACCAACGCAATAAGCGAACTATTGTGAACCTTCATTGAAAATTCCAACGAATGGTGCAATCAAATGTCAAAAATTGAGGAAATAAAAATTCAAACAGATTTCAAAAATTTGAAAAATCTTGAAAAGTAACGAAGAAATAATAAGAATGGAGAAATCATAAGTATTAAGCACATTGAATTTTTTATTATGTTAGTTATTACCAAGTAACATTTATTTTATTTCATTTAATTTGTAGTTTACATATGTAAAATTAATAAACAAACATAATTTTTGAAGTTTTTCTAAAAAATTTTTTATAGAAATACACCCAAACTATGGACCACAAAGGAAACGAAGTGTTTTCTAGAGTGCTACTTGACACGAAAGGAAGACAATCTTCAGAGGAGGTTGTTGCGGCATTCATAACATTTAAAAAGTCCGTGAAACAACTTGCATCCCTCGGCCACTGCAAAACGTTGCTTCCTTCTCCCAACATCGACAGTACCTACAAAAATTTACTTATCTTAGTGTTTTATTTTTAAATTTCCAATATTCTTACCATTCCTTTTAATTCCGTGTTCATTTTAATTTTATAATATTTTTATAAAAATATATTTGATTTATATGCACAATACAAGATTTGCTGTTTGTCAAAACAAAACATTTGACAGATTGCAACAGTGATGCCAATGACTCGCGTCATTAGCATCAACATGGCCAACATAGGCCAACATGCATTTTTTGCCGTACTTGCGAGCCACCGAAAAGGCCTAATATTAACCGGTCAAATTGATTTCTTTCTCCTTTTTGTTTTCTTTTAACCGATATTTGTCAAGTAAATTAGAATAACGAGCACTGAAACTCTCTGCGTCTTTTTTACCACCTGGTTTTCACCACCTGGTTATAATTTAATATGATGTGTATTACTTCAGCTAGTACTCTTTTTGGTAGTTGTTTTCAATTTCAAGAATTGAAACTTCTTCGAAATTGAAAGTATGTCTAGCTGAATGATGATGTTCAGATAGGGCGGTTTTTTTATAATCATCAGCGCGTCTGCATGTACTTTTATGTTCACTTAACCTTTTTGATCATTTTCGTTTGATTTGATAAATTTCTTTTTTTTCTTGATCTTTCAGCTTAGAGAAAAAGACATTGGTTGTTTTTAAATTATATAATACAACGTCAATTATTTGTTCTTCTCTGAACAGTTTCGATATTTTTTGAGATAATCCAGGAATGTTTGGAAAAGTGCACCTTTTTTTAATATTATTTGAATTGCTCACTGTTGTGTTTTTAACTAATTGTGTATGTTTATTTGAAAATAATATTTTGTTAATGAAATATTTGGGGTAGTTATTATTTTTTAGTATTTTTTTAATTTGTTTAATATTATCTTCCATAAATATTTCATCACTCAAAGCTTTGACTCTGCTTATAAAGTTTCTAACAGTGTTGATTTTCAGTAAAAAATTCAATAATCTACCTGAAGATGTCGGTTTTTTATACCAGTTGGTGATAATATTGTTCTCAGTTCTCATTACCATTATATCTAAGAAAGAAATTTTTTATTGCTCTTCAATTTCATATGTGAATTGAATGTGCGGATTCACATTGTTGAAAGCTGTAACCGCATTTTTAACTTCGCCTTTGGGAATTGCAAATAACGTGTCATCAACATAATACATAGCTAGACATACTTTCAATTTCGAAGAAGTTTCAATTCTTGAAATTGAAAACAACTACCAAAAAGAGTACTAGCTGAAGTAATACACATCATATTAAATTATAACCAGGTGGTGAAAACCAGGTGGTAAAAAAGACGCAGAGAGTTTCACTGCTCGTTATTCTAATTTACTTGACAAATATCGGTTAAAAGAAAACAAAAAGGAGAAAGAAATCAATTTGACCGGTTAATATTGATACAGAACCGTTTTAAGAGAAATAATAATAATGTATATTACATTTCTTGAATTTATAAAACAAAGACAACTATACAAGTTGTACTAAAGTTCTTTGACATAACAAAATAGATTAACATATATTTTTCCATTTTCTTGTTTTTGTTTCTATGTTTATTATTGTCTGATCACTTAACATATGTGATGTTAAAAATAAAAATAATTATTGTTCGTATTATTTTTTTGAGTTCAATAGTGTCAGTTTTTATATATATGTTAATTTTTTGTATATATTATTTTAATTTTAAATTCATAAACCTTAAGTTAAGCTTTTTATTAAAAATTAAGGTATTATTTTAATTGTAATGTGTAACTTTAAAAAATTTTTTGTAATTATTTTTTGGATAATAATTACAGCACTGAGGATGTTCTAAAATAAAGAACGAAATATCTGCTTCAAATTTCCAAATAAAAGCGTTTTATTGTGGTTTGTCTGATAGTTGAAAAATTTTTAAATTAAAAAAGCATTCAGATATACAGAAAAAAGTTTTATTTGTAGTTTTTATTTTTATCACGGTTGCAAACGGATGAACGGATGCCTGATTATTATTCCAGTGAATACCTTGAACAGAGTTTTGAACAACAAAAGCATAAGTTTCGGAAAAATCACACAAAACTATGCATTCATTTTTTGTTAAGTTGCTTTTCTTATCATTTTAAAACTCTGCCTGTTTTTTAACGACAAAGGAATGCAACAGCTTTTTGTCTAAACCGTCTTTTAAGGATTGCAAATATTCGTCTATTGATGATGTCAAAGTTTTTAATGTGCTTCTCTCTTCACGAATCAATTGTTTGTATGGCATGATGGCATCAAATATCTCCAGAAGTTGTGCATTGATATTTTTAGTTCCAGGACATTTGGCGCAGGTTCCTAGAAAGCATTCTGTGCTTGAAGTGTTGCAAATCATGCGCTGTAGACAATCTTGATAGTTATTTATCGGCTTTCTACAGCATGCAGTCAGTGCTTTTGTATTCACTCCATCTATCATTAATCGTACGTTTTCGTGTATGGAGCACATACAAACAGAATATGTACTTGCTCCTGCAAGAATGCAATGTTGTGGTCGTAAAGATGCAAATTTAGAAAAACTACATTCGAGATCCGGCTGGTTGAGTTTGAAAAAAATATGCAACTCCTTCAAATTGCTTAGAATGACTGGGCTTCTGTGGGTTCATTTTCAACTTCAGCGGATTAAAACATTTTAAGTCATTCAGTTGCGTAGATGCATTTTATTTTTTCCAACGTTTGGCATTATCTAAATGTTCTTACTTATTTGTTCGCTTTCAAAACATAAATTGAGGACTTGTCAGACTTACTTAACAATTTATACCTAATTTGATTCCAGTATCTTTATAAGATAGAAGTACCTAAACTCTCCATATCGATTTATTTACAGTTCATTTCCTATAACACTTCTTACATATACAGAGTATTTTTCCAACCGTAACGAAGTAACACTTCACCGAAAAAGGTAGGTGTGATTATCTGCTGCAGTTATCTAGGTAATTCGGCTAATTAACTTTTTAATTCATCTATATAAGAAAAAAGTTTATTAAACGGTTTAATTATGTTAAAATTTATAATTTAGGAACAGGAATGATGCGGAACTAATTCAAAATGGTTACATTTTATATATAATTTTAATTTATTTTAAAAATAAAAAGTAAAAATGTTTGTATAGTTTTTCTTCGAAAATTGATTTAATGGTAATATGGTGCCTATGAGCAATGTGAAGGACACCTGATAAATTAATTTTTTTTAATTACTTCTAAAAGGAATATCACACTGGAAATATTTATTTTTTAAGTAGAATTTATATATATTAATTTGAATCAAAAGTAAAAAAATATTTGTGTGACATATTTCTTTTTTTTTTTTTAATGAAAAATCGTGTGTACATGTTTGGTGTGATATGAAGGATAAGTAAATTTTTAATAGTACTTCTAATGACAATATCGTCCAGAAATTTTTGAGATTTATATAGAATTTTATTACTAATTGAAATCAATAATATTATATAGAAATATTTGTAGTATATTCTTTGAAAATTTATTCAATGGAAATGTAGTACGCATGTGCTCGATGTGTTTTGCGGGAGAAAAAAATATTAAATATTAAAATTCAAAATATAACGGGTACTTGAAAATTTTTATTTCGTAGTAAAATTTAAAACTGAATCTAAATAAAATATAAAAAATGAAAATTCACAAAATAGTTTAGAAAAAAAATTTTTTTTGAAATTTAACGGTTAATATTAGTACTTAAATATAAACAATTTTAATTGTTTAAACAAATTTGTAAAAGTTCAATCAATTACTTAGAAACGCTGTAAATTTCAAGTTTCTACCTTTCATAGAACTTGAGATATAGCCATTTGAAAATGTGTCTACAATGCCAAATTTGCTAGGAAAAAAGTCACAATATTTTTCCTGAGATACGGGTCTTCTTATTTTATTTCAGCCAAATAGGAGATCATGAGGTCAAATCTCCAAATAGGAGATCAAAATCCGCGCACTAAATTTAGGTGAACATTTAAAAGGCTTTTCGGATGTACCTATTTGGAATGTATATTTATAAGGAAATTTTGAATTCGTAATAATTAGTTTATATATTAAAGTTTGAATTATGCATACAAATACAACACAAATATTTTAAATCATAAGTACAATTTAAAAGAATCAGTAATTTTTAGTTCTTATTAGTATTGCATTAGTAAATTTATTTTTGTATATTTAATCAGATTTAAAAATACCTATGTGTATTCAATGCTTGGACACCGACTTTTGATTTCAATGCAATTCGTTTATATAAATTTAAATATTCAAACATATGTATATTTACTGCAATATACATTAAGACTGAAAAGTTTTCGGAAATTCTCATTTAAAATTCGCGCGCTGTATATTTTTCGATATTTTAAGTTTATGTAGTTTGGCAGCCCTGTCCTTAATTACTATGCCAAAAATGAGCGCGATCTGTCAGACAGTTCGTTTACGGCAGCTGTTGAAACCAGTTCACCTCAGTAGTGCGTTGCGAAATGTCTTCGACGGGTCGTACGACCGCTGAAAGCTTGTACCACTCATAAACTTGAGTTTTCGATAAAACTGATTCCCCATAAGCCTTTTGTAGCATTCGCAACGATTCTGCACACGAAATTTCGTTCGAAACACAAAAATTTGATGCAAACTCTTTGTTCAATATATTTTTTTCCATTGTTTTTTCGCAACGCACTACTGAGGTGAACTGGTTTCAACAGCTGCCGTAAACGAAACTGTCTGACAGATCGCGCTCATTTTTGGCATAGTAATTGTCCGTAATTGCTGCCAAACTACATAAACTTAAAATATCGAAAAATATACAGCGCGCGAATTTTAAATGAGAATTTCCGAAAACTTTTCGGTCTTAATGTACATATGTTTTTATACGAAAAAATAAAAAAATTGACAAAACAAAATTTACATACTCTGTGCATAGGTTCCGGTTCTTCTGATAATTCGTCCAAATTTCCAGATATAGCACGTTTAAGAGCAGGAGAAACTTCATGCAGCGTTCTCAAGCCAGCTTGTAAAGTAATTGTATTACTTTCTAATTGGCCGTCTTTTCCTTCTTGTTCTTTACGTTTCTTAAATCTTCTAAAGTAGTCTTGAATTAAATATGTGGCATAGAATTTACCTACTGTTACTTCATCATCATTTCCAGGAGGTGGGACTACTTGATCTAAAAATTTTGGATTCGTTCGTTTCCATATTTGCTTAATTGTTGCACGTAAGTCTGCATTTGCATCATCTATATTACCGTCTGTTTTTATGCTTAGGGATGTACGTACAACAGCAAAAAGTGTGGCATTGAACAAAACTGTGCCGTCTGAATTTAGGGGCATATTCATAGACACCAAGCGTTTACAAGCCATACGATGTGGACACAATTTTCCAAATCCTAGTGGTGGAGAAATTTTGCGCAGAAGTGTTACTACATCCAAATGTTTAATGCGACCTTTCGCATCTGGGTCATATTCACTCCACAACCGTATAAATTCATCTAAGTGATGAGGTCCTAATATGGACCAGTCTCTCGTCAGGTAATCAAAATTATCCATAATGACTGCAACAAATAAATTAATTATCTGGAATAAAAAGAAATTTTGAAAAAATATATATAATACATATATAAATACACAAAAAATATATATAATACATATATAAATACACAAAAAATGTGGTAAACTACTATTAGTTAGTTAACTACGAGTATTAGTTAGTTATCAAACTAACCACTACATTACGAAAACAATACACATAAATTTGTGACTATGACAAATTTTCTTTTTTATTATTAATTTTTTCACGGGCTAATTGGTCAGTTATTAAAAAATGATCTTTTTTTTTTTTTTAAAATAAAATTTTTTGTTTAGTTTTATAAGATTTTTATTGTCCAATATTTCGACTATAATCTATAGTCATCATCGGGGAACTATACATATAAATACATTGTAATTAATATTAAGGTATACATTACATAGAAACAATAATAAATTACATTTACATTGAAACATGAAACATACATATGTATTTATTTTTGTTTTAATTTTTGAGTCGTTACTTCGAAAATGTTAAAATGCGGTTATTTTTGTTTTTTAAAATATACTAACTTTTATTTCGAAAGTTTTTTGTGTATCTCTACACGTGTTTCGGCAAATTCGCTTTTGCCTTCATCAGGAGAATTCCTAATATTAAAACATCTAGCAATCTTACAAACTATTTATACCATAAACATGTTATTTTTAATACTAAACTTAATATTAATAAATCCTAAGGTTATTGTCCTTGAGGGTGACAGGTAAGAAATGGTGGCGGGGTTGGTCTGGCGTTGTTTTTTTTTATTTTTACATACAGATAGTTAGGTTGACTGGTTGTCGGTTTTTTGGGATGTATCTAAAAAGGCACGATGACACGTTGCCTTTGTCGCCGTTGAGTAAATTTGTGGTATGATGTTTGTGTATTTCGATGCTTTCTGCCGTTTCTAATTTCCAGCTATCCCTTACATTTTTGATTATTTGGGCGTTATCCCTGTTGATGTGGTGATTTTCCTTTACTATATGTCTGGCGACATTTGATTTTATGTGGGGGTTCATTTTCTTCGGTGCTTCTCTTGCTTCCTTCAGGTGTTCTTCAAGTCTTACTGATAAGGATAAGGTGATATTAAAAAGATGATGAGGTAGCAGCTATTTTGCCATTAATAAATTCGAATGATCGTTAGTGGATTTGTACAGCAAATAGCGTGACAATCCCGGCGAGAACAGCAGTGTTTATTTCGTTGAAATTTGGAGTGATAACTGGAGAAATGGTGGTATATAAGAAGGAAATTCTACCAAATTTGTTTGTAGGAGAATCACTCACAAAAGTACGAAGGGGTGTAGGATATGTACGAGTCTTGAATGCAAATAACTATCAGATAGGATTTCTACGAGCCATTGAATTAGAATATAGCAGTTTGGGAGTTTATGATGTAATTGGGATACCAAATATTAATTTCACAGAACAGAAAATCATCAATGTTAAGTGTTCTTAAGGATTTTAGTGATGTTTTTGACTTGCCAGGGGATAAGCCCTTCCATTACTTCGGTACTAGAACATGAAATATTGACAGATTCCGAGCAGTCGCCAACAAATATAAGGCAGTATCGATTACCAGAAGCTCATAAGAAAGAAATAAATAATCAAGTTAAAGAGATGTTGAATAGCGGGATAAGAACACCAAGTAAATTACCATGGAACTCACCAATAATACTAGTACCAAAAAAGCCTGATGCGGAGGGAAATAAGAAATGGTGGCACGTAGTAGATTTCAGGAGGCTAAACCAAAGAACAATTGAACAAGTTTTTCCGACACCAAGAATAGAGGAAATTTTAGACCAGCTCGGACGCAGTAGATATTATTCAACCTTGGATCTAGTCAGCGGCTACCACCAAGTGATGGTAGATAAAAACTATAGGAATAAAACTATTTTTAGTACACGACTAGGACGTTTTAGATTTCAAAGAATGCCTTTCGGACTTACGGGTGCACCGGCAACCTTCCAACGAATAATGAATGTCATACTGACGGTGCTTTAAGGTATCGACTGTTTTGTATATTTGGACGATATTGTGAGCTACGGAAGTAATTTAACAGAATACGAAGAGAGACTGAGAAGGAAAATGTCAGTTTTTAAGGCGGGAAATAGTATATTTGGGTCACCTATGTTCAGATAGTGGTGTGATCCCGGATCCTGATAAGGTAAAATGTGTAAAAAATATGCCATCGCCGCGGAATGTAAGGGAATTGCAATCATTTTTGAGATTTATTAACTGTTACAGAAAACTTATTCCGCAAGCAGCAAAGATCTTCTTACCTCTAAATTAATTGCTTCGAAAAGACTCGAAATTCATATGGACAAAAAATTGTTAAGTGGCAATGGATCAATTAAAACAGTTAATGACTATACTTTTACAATACCCAGACTTTAGCAAACCGTTCATTCTGACAACAGATGCGAGCAATGAAACATTAGGAGCTGTTCTGTCTCAGGAAGAGCCAGGAAAGGATTTGCCTTTGTAATTCGCGAATCGTGCACTAAGTAGCACTGAAAAACGGTATTCGACAATTCAAAATGAGTTTTTAGCTATCGTTTGGGTGGTTAAAAATTTTCGCGCTTATCTCCTTGGCCGAAAATTCAAAACTTTTATCGACCACAAGCCATTAAAAGAAATGGCAAATTTAAAAAATCAGAATACACGTCTAGGTCGTTTTCGGCTCAAGCTTTTGGAATTTGATTTCGAAATTGTTTATAAGCCTAGAAAAACTAATAAAAATGCAGATGCACTGAGTAAGATACCGAGTAATAATATTGCAGTTATAACTCGGTATAAAAAGAGGGAAAAAGAAGAAGATTTGCTAGCTGCCGAAGTTAAACAGACAGATAATAGTTCGGAAATAGACAGAGGCTATCCTGCGAATGAAGATTATGCAGTTTATCCCACGAACAAGAAGGATATTCAAGGTATATTAAAAACATTTCACAATTCACAATTAGGGGGACATCAAGGTGCTGTAGAAACGTATTTACGTATCAGAAAGCAATAAAAGTGGTCAAGAATGCAACGTCAAATAAAAGTCTATGTGTGAACCTGCCAATATTGTCAGAGAAATAAAAGTTCTAAGATAAAGAGGATGCCTATGGTTTTACCGGATACGCCACAAAGACCATTTGACAAAGTCTTTATGGACATGTTATATATATAATTAATATATATGTTTATAACAATTTAAGTTACAGTGTATACTCAAAAATGTTTAGTTCGTAAGCTTTTGATAATGATAATAAAAGTTAGTCTGTAATACAACTCAAAAGCGTGCACTTCATTTGGTGAAGACACCACATAATTGGCGACCAGAAATAAAAAAAAATAGAAAAAGGTTTTTTTCTTTTGAACATTGGATTTGTGTAAATATACAAACTGTTTTTTTAAATTTTTTTTTTTTTTAAAAAAAAAAAAGAAAAAAAAAGAAGAAAAAAATATATTTCTTGAACATTGTATTTGTGTAAATATACAAATTGATATAAAATCAAATAATAATAAAAAAAAAAAAAACGTGATCGGGCACAAAAGTGTGTATATGTGTGTGGGCTGTTGAAGATTAATAATTGTACATTATAAATTAAAATTAATAATTGTAAATTATAAATTAAAATTAATAATTGTAAATTATAAATTAAAATATTAAAAAATGAGTACGGATAGCAAAAACGTGGAAGATGCAAAAAATGGTGTATATTATCCAATTCAACACGTGCCGGAATTTAATCCATGCAGCGAATTGTGGGATTTGTGGAAGGAAAAGTTAGAAATATACTTTTGTGAGATAAATTGCATCAGTGATAACACAAAAAAAGCTCTTCTCTTAAAATCTATTGGATCGGGGCCATATGCTGTTCTCCATAACATATGCAGTCCAAGTAAACCAGTTACAAAGACTTACAAAGAGCTTTGTAATATAATGGATAAACATTACACGTCTCCAACAATCATATTCAAAGAGAGAAAAACTTTCACACTGCAGTAAAAAGTGAAAATGAATCAATTTCCGAGTGGTTTGCTAGAACAAAACAATTAGCGTTGAATTGCAGGTTCGGTGAGCAACTTGAGTCTTTTGTCTTGGATCGTTTTATTGTTGGATTGTCGGGAAAAATTTTTGAGCGACTTTGTGAAGAAGACGAAAAGCTTTCGCTAGATGAAGCATTACGTAAAGCACTCATTATGGAAGTGAAGCAAAAAACAAGTAATGACTGCATTGCAATTAATATTGTAAAAAATAAAACAATGTATAAGAGCGGCGATAAATATGCCAGCAGTAACAAAAATTGCAAAAAAAATTCAGATTGTAAGCATTGTGGTTGGCGTAATCATGAGTCTAAAGATTGCAGATTTAAAAATTCTAAAAGCCATCACTGTGGTAAAATTGGACACCTAGCATCAGTGTGCAGACATGTGAAATTAATAAAAATAAAAAAATAGGTTTTGTATCTGAAGTAAAATCTAAAAAATTTGTTAATATAAATAATAATAATGATCCGAAATTTTCTATTTACAGTGTAACATCTGAAGTTTCAAGTGCTGATGAGTTTAAAATTCCAGTGACTGTCGATGGATTATGTGTGAAGTTGGCATGTGATACGGGAGCATCTTGCAGTTTACCACCTTTATCGTGGCTAAAAAAATGTAAAAAACAAGTAAGTCTAACTCCATGTACAACGACTTATGTTGGTTATGGTGGTAATAAAATTAAAACTGTAGGCTTGCATAATTGTAAGATAAGTTATTGTGGAACTACAAAAAATATAACATTTGCAGTAACTAACTGTTCAACTCAACCGTTGCTTGGTAGAGATTTCTTAAGCTTGTTTAATTTTCGTTTGGAACAAATTTGTGCTGTAGGCCAAACAACAAGCCAATCTGTAATTATTGATGAAATTAAAAATCAATTTGCAGAAGTTTTTAATGGGCAATTAGGTTCATATAAATCTACACTTATTTCATTACCTATTTCTGAAAATGCTAAACCAGTATTTTGTAAACCA